TTCATATGTAACCGTACCATATGGTATGTGTTCTTAAACGTACCATATGGTATTTATACTTAAAGATGCCACATGGCATGGAATTGTCCTGCATATGGTATGGAGTTATTGTAACCGTTCATTCAATTCATGATTATCTTCACCATGTAGTTCCACTCTTTGGTCACCATGACAATGCATCTGAATTGCATTATTATGCATCAGCATTGTTATGTCCAGGTCTGTATCTAATAGTTACTAATTTGCCAATGGGTCCAGCATTTTTGGCTTTTAGTATCAAGTATGGTGGTTGTACCTATGTACGTCAATGGATTGTTATTCATGAAGACTTTTACCTGGTGCCCATAATAATAGTTGCAAATCCTTTCGGTAACAGGTATCCAAGATATTCAAGTTTGTGGGTTAGTTCTCTTCACTTGCAGATAGACTTCTACTCGTATACGACAATGGCAATGGTGCTAACCTTTTGCTCATGTCGAATTCATGGGCCTAGTACAATGATGCCCAGTCGTTTTTATTTGGTGGAGTACATAAACGATATCGATTAACAATAATGTTAAGTGCTGCTGGACTTTCTTCTGTCCAGATGTGAGAAGGAATCTGTGTATGCTCAATCTTTTGAGTTTTCATCAGCTGACCCGAGGTTAACTAATGTATCGGTCAGGTGATTGCCGAATATCCCTGCACAAATTGTCTACAATTTCATGTGACTTCCAAGCACCTGCCAAGTATGCAACACTTCGATATTTGCTGGGTCTGCTTTGATTCCATCTTTGGACACCACATGTAACAGATCCTTAACATGTTTGCGGAACAGCTGACATTTCAAGTGCTTTATTTTTAGGTTTATCTTATGTTATTTTTTCCGAGTACTCTCTTTATTGTCTGCCGCCAAATGCTTTGGAATTTGTCAAGCTGTATGGGGTCGTGGTATATTCGAAAAATCCAAAAGGATAACCAAATAATTATCTGACACCAGTTTGTGCTCTGTAACAAGTACATCCCTTTCCCATATACGAGGAAGTGCATACACATTGCGCTTTACATTGCTTCATGTCTCTTGCCCTCCTGACTATCCTCAATTGGTTTATTGGTCACGTTGCTCATCACTAATAACAGTACAGTTCGATGGCTCATGCACATTAGTAACCATTAGTTTCAAATTCTTGTCTCTTATAGGCTGTTATCGACATTCGCTCTGAGTAGTTGGTGTTTTTGTCATCAGGGTTATTACCTACCTTATTTATGTGATGTATAATTGTGTCTCTGACATTTAGCACATGGTTCCTGACACTCTTTTGCAATATGACCTTGATTGCCGATAGCATTTACATATTTATCGTTTGTGTGCTTGCGCCTGTTGTGTGACCCGAGGTGTTCATTGACTGACTATCTCTAGGGGAACCAATTTCTCTATTTTAATTTGTGTTACTTGTGCGAATATTTCTGTTATTTGTCTCTGCAAATCTACAACGTCATTCCCTGGTCTTTCAGGTGCATTGGGTCAATCTGTAATCTTTCCTGGATTAAACTATCATAAAATTGCTGCTGGAGATGAATATCAACTTGTTCCTTCACTGACTCCACGCCATTAAACAACTCCCATTAGCTTTTGTTGGTGGCTGCCATAATCACACATTATTCATCCATCTTCTGATGTGCAAGTTTCTTAATGCATCTTCACTTATATTGACTTCATCGAACATCAGTTCCAATTCATATTAAACACATTTACTATGTTGACTGAAGGAATGTTGTTGAACACAGACCCAGCAATCGGCGCTTTCAATGACTTAGTAATAATGAATTTACCAACTATTGAACCACATCGCAAGTTGGATACTATCATTGGGAGCCTTGGCTTCCACATCAAAACTGGGAATCCCCGACCAATGCAAACACAGCAGGACGATCTCCCACTAATGACGAAACCAAACTTTTTGTATCACACCAGTCCTGCATCTCGGCTTCTAACACCTGTCATAGTTTATCCTTTAAAGCCACTTCTTGCTTTTGGCGTCATTTCCACATCTTTATATCTCGTACATGCCTGTCAAAACGCCCGACCTCTCTATGCTACTTCTTTTCCACCTCACTTTCTGCATCTTCACACAAAACAAAACTACTGTCATCATTATCAGAGCGGTTATCGTTGCTCAATTCTCTGTGTTGGGGAATAAAGGATGCCTATAATGAAATGATCTATAAAGAGAAATTGATCACGGACGCCTTTTTTCTGGGGTTCCTATTTTGGAAAAGAATTGTTATATTGTCTAAGCACATCTAGCACAGCTCAAAATGTTGCTCACCTTGCCCATCCATCGATATTATTCCTATCCATACAAGTTTATCTATCACTAACATGACTTTCTGTTCATAGTTTTTCCGCGGTTTTAATCTTCAATCTTTTAATCTTTAATCTTCTTTTAAAGCTCTCTTTTACTTTTACTTTTGTTTTAGCTGAGTAGCATATTCCTTGGCATGCATCAAGCTTGAGTTAAATTCCTAGTGTGAGGCATATCTGGTCTTCACAAATTCGTTTAGGCTTAACTACAGTCTCAACATGATTTCATACATGCTGACACACTTAAGAAAGCACCATATTAATTTATATTACGTTCATTTTCAGAGTTGTTCACTCAATGTCACTCACATGAATTGCTTTCATCCTGTCGTCCTATGTTTCTATCAGGGGGAAATCTTCTCCTCTCGGGTTCTCCACACTTGTCAGGGGGGAATCTCGTCTCGTCTCTCTATCTCGTCCCCTTGAGGTACGGGATCGGGGAAGTCACTTTAACTTTACAGT